TCTCACCTGCTAGTGCCCTACAAATTTTTCCTCAAATAGGTCCTCTAGTAGGAAAGATAAATAAATACATTTATATACATTATTCATATAGTATATGTATACTATACATATACACACATACACCATACATGCGTATAATTTATACATAAGGATAGTATATACTATATAGTAAAAATGGGTTTGGAGATAATTACCCTTACTGTTAAAGTTCTTCCACCAACCCTGTCATTGGCTTCCAGCAACACCACATTCAAGCCTGACTCAGTCAGCAGTTTGGCTGCTGAGAGACCTAAAAGACAAGAAGAAAAATAGTTAAAGATTACTTCTGTATATGCACCCCATGGCTTTTCTGACCTGACATGTAAACACTCACATAGCTATCCATCTAAATCATGAATTTTTCATTCAAACACTTTGCCAGGGGCGTCAGGTGGAATTAAAAAAACCCCAGTAATCATGAAATGGAACCAATGGAACCGAAGCCACATATTAAAACAGTTTGTGGTCAAATTTTACATGTGCCAAGCACCATTTGCACCACATGCTCAGCTCTTCTGATGCATAAGCCAGCACTTGTTATAATAGTCATCGAGCTAGGCAGCAAACTTGGAGAGGACAGCTTTCTGTTCTCTAACATCAGCACATTATCTTTTATAACCCCAACAAAAAAAAAAAGGAAAAAGAGTGGTTTTATTAGGACTGTCCTAAATTCAAAAAGTTTTCCTGAAGCTGCTTGTACACATCTGCTTTCCAGCTCTGAATATTTTAAAGTACATTAGCAAAGTTCCCACGCAGTCAGGTCATAGGTTTCTTCTCCTGAAGAACACATAGTCTGACTCAGAAGAGATAATGTGGGCTTGTGTATTGCAACAAGAAGAAAAAAATATGAGTAAGTCTACCTCAAAAAAATTTCATGCTTCATCCATTTTCTTCATACACTTTTATCTCCATCTTGAATTTCTTGAAGCTGAGACACCAAGAGAAGGAACATCTCATTTTAGTTCTGATGCCATAAATCCTCATAATTGCTGAGGAAAATATTAGCGTCAGCCCCTGCAGCAAGTGTGTCAAGCTGCTATGGGAATGAAAGAAACTAGAAAGGGTGCACAACATGGAGGGAATACAGCCTGCAACCTCTCAACTTCTTAAGATCATATCTGCCCTTTACTTCAGCACACAAGCTGAGATTTGAATAAACTCAGGTTCTTACTTTGGCCACGTGTAAATGAATTTCCAGTGGGACAAGAGTTATATTCTAGAGGGCTGCATCACCCTCTTGAACTCATAGGATGCACTGAATAAAGTTCAGCACAGGGCACCCTAGAAGCTACACTCAGACATCATAACTTAGCTATCCTTTCTGGCTCTCTACCTTGTCACTAGCAGAAGGCAATCGGTTTCCTCTGTGTCCTAGTAGACACAGTTTTTGAAAATGAGTCATCCAAGCAGATTGTTCCAAGCATAAGGTAGCCATGGAAGAAATGGCAAAAGCGCTGGCAGGAAAAACAGATGGTCAAAGCTAGCATGGCAGGACTGAATGAAATTATAATGAAGATAATATAGCAGTCCTGGACAGAGAAAGAACATTAATGAGAGCTACTAGAGGTGCTACAGAACATCCTGGTCATCAACTAGTGGCTTGGGAGTAGGGGAACCAGGTCCTGATCCCAGCACTGCAGTAAACCTGCTGCACTATGCTGGTGAGATCACTTAAGTTTTTTGTTTCCCTATCTGTAAAAAAAAAAAAGGCAATGCTGTAGACCTATCTATGTAAAGGATTTGACATTTTCTGAAGAAAAGCATTTCTTAATGTTTCCATTAAGAGATCACACTGTCCTGCTTTTATTTCTAGCTTCATGGGCTTATTTATCTTGGGTTTTCACATAAGTGCTAGTGAGAAAACCAGTAATGACACTGATAAAGGTCTTTCCATACTTCCTTATTGAGGAAATTATATTGCAAAAACATCTGGCTGGATCAGTGGCCTTGACTACTCTCACAAATATTTGAAGATACCAAGGAAGAACAAAATACAGAAAACAGTCATGGTATGCAAACATGGACCACCCCTTCAAACAACTTGCAAAAAGAGATTGCCTCCTGAAGGAAAAATAGGCAACAAAACTCCCAAATAAATATAGCTTACCCATTAAAGAAAAAAAAAAAAGCTCTTCAAAAAGCCCAACTATTTCATCAGCTAGGAGAGGATCTATAGTAGTTATTAATAATTTACAGAATGAATACATAATCTGGAGGCTGTTGTCACTGCAGGTTTCTGCTGGCTTATCATGCTAACAGGTATTGACTAATCAGTTAATAATATTCAGTTACCAACATTGATTAACGAATATGAGATTTGACTTTCTTTATTAAAATCTAATGAATAAACATTTCAGTACAGCTGGAAAGAAAGGCAGCTTATTCTCAAGAGGTGAATAGACAGAGAAGCTTGTAAAAGGATAGATCTCTGTACTCAACTGAAATGCAGCCAATTTGCAGTGGTCAGGCCAGATACCACCTCCTTGTTTCCTTATGCACCTTTCATCCACCCTATTGCACCTACCTACTATTTACTCCCTACTGTTTATTTTTGGGCAGGTGCCACCTTTTTTTTCCCCTCCAACACATGTACCTGTTAGAGATGGATAACAGTTTACTCTTTCCTGATGTAAATCCAAAAAAAACCCAACCCCAACCAACTAACCAGTGCTGAGGGCAGGATTGGGCTCATTAGCATCTTGATGCTCCATGCCCATCCTCCAGCAGATCAGATCTCTGTAGGAGCAAGGACGTGTTCTTGTGGCTTAACTCTACAGTGGAAGTTGCAGTCTACAGGATTTCCAAACTAAGTGCCACCTGACCACTTCTTTGGAAGGGCTGGTGGTCCACCCCCTTCTCTCACATATATGACAGCTCTGTTCTGGTCAAAAGTTTGCTGGAGAAATTATACAGGTAATTGCTGACAAAGGCAGGTAACACAGCCAACCTGCAGCACCTCCTCTCCCTCATCACAAATGTGTAACTGGGGAAAAAGGTGGAAGAAGCAAAGGCAGAGACACAGGAGGGTGAGATGGCACAGCAAGGGACCAGATTAGGTCTCATAGTACAGTACAGGATACGCAAGACTGCTGTCACAAATACAATTACAGTGCACTATTGACAGGCAGGAATGTTGCTAATTTTTGGTATTTCACACATCTGGAATCACACAAGTGCCACATCACCCCATACCTGTTCCCTGCAGCTCAAACCAAGACCCCAAATGGGCTCTTGGACTGTTACTATAACAACAGCGAGAGGACTAGATGCTACGGAGGGAGAGCTCCAAGCCCAAGTGATACAAGGACAGATAAGGCACCAGGAAAGCAACAAAAACATATTAAAATGGAAACGAATAATAGCACACAAATATTGTGACACAAGGTTGAGGTTTGCTTTTCATAAACTAAAAATTGCTGCAGGGAACTCCTACAAACCACAACCTCTTTTCCGGGCAAGAGTCAGAGTGGCCTCTCTGTGCTTAATACTCCAGTTGCCACAAACAGATCATGCACAAAGCCTGAGAAGCAAAGCCTGGAAAAATCTGTCATATGTGATGCAAGATCTCCTCTTCAGAAGTTTAACCCTTCACAAGTTTCACATTTCAGCATTGCCTCTGGCTTAGCTCTCACTCTCTTGCACAGAACTAACAAAAGGCAGGTCTTTTAATATCACCCCCATCCCTCACAAGCAAGGCAAACAGCCCCATTAAAATGTAAAGTTCATCCAAAAACACGACTGACACTGTTACTCCTCCCATTCCATGCACAATGTTTTATCACCCAGTGGCACCATCCCCTCCTCCCCAGGAGCATTTCAACAGAATCAGATCTGAATTGCAATGTAAGTGCTCAACCACTTTTGCCAGCACTTCAGAGAAGACAGTAATCGAGTCCAGTTTCCATTGCAGGTCAGCTTTCTTCAGCGAACAACAGAGACCCATATATATATGGCAGAAAACATAAGCTTAAGCAGCTTCACCTGCAGTTCTGCTCAGAGAATCAATAGGCAGACAATTAATGCAAAGAACAAAGAAGATGATAGGTCTTATTTGAAGTCCCAGACTGAAAATACCATTGTGCTTAGAGGATGTTTAACAGGGCAAGCCTTCATCCGTTACCATAGCAACCTGGTACCCAACCAAAGAGATTGCCTCCCTCAGAAATTTATAATGCAAGTTCAAGCCACAAAAAAACATTTCTCCATCGTGCAGCACTCTGCATTCACACATATCTTATTCAAATGTAATAATCACAACAATTATTTCATCTTCAGTTCCAACTTATTTCTTTCCTGTTAGATATCTCTGTACATGGTAAACATCTTAAATTGCACCATTGGATGAAACAGCTTCATTATAACCTTACTTCCTAACATTAACAGTTTTCTTTACAAGAATAACTAATTCTGATTTTTTAATGCTTGCCTTTTTTTTTTTTAAAAAAAAAAAGGAGAAAATCTTAAATTTCTGTGCTAGGGCAGAATGCAAACTTGCATTTGGATTAACAAATGTGACAAAAGTCACAATTTTCATCTGACCCCCATGTATTATGGGCTACAATGAAGCATGACAATCAAACACACCTGCCTATCTAAAAAAAACATTTTTAAAGTAAACTTTTAAAGAACCAATTGAAATTCTGGAACAGCAGTCTGATTCTGCCTGGAATCATCAAATTTACTGAAATACCCTTTTAACCTCAGCATTTCCACAAAAATTTCACTAGAAAGGACACAATTGGAAGCTGCATCTCTGATACATCTCTAAATTATACTTGTGATTTCTTCCATTTAGTTGTTTTGGAGGTTTTTTTGTGGTTTTTTTGTTTTGTTTGTTTGTTTGGTGTGGTGTGTGGTTGGTGGGGGTTTTTTTGTGTTTGTTTCTTTTTGTGTGGTTTTTGTTTTGTTTTGGGTTTTTTGTTTTGTTTTGGGGTTTTTTTGTTGTTGGTTTTTTTGTGTTGGTTTTTTGTTTTTTGTTTTTTTTTTTAAACACAGGATACTTCTGTCATTCTCTGGATGGCTAAACAACCAATACATAACAGCAAGCTCATGACCAAGATTTTATTTCTCCCTTGGGCTACACCCAATTCCCCTGCAGTGTACAAGGGCCAGGGCAGGTAACTTTGAGAGGGACAGATTGTAAAGCTGTAAATAAAGTTTATTTCTGAAGGCATTTCTGCAGTTCCTGAGGTACTTTCTCTGTATTATTCACTACTTCGTCATGTTTCCCCATGTTTATTATCTCCCTTC